GAGAGAGAAATTCTAAGAATGAACCAAAAAGAAATGCTAGAGGTTAGAAACACTGAAACAGAAATGAATAATGTCTTTGATGACTTTACTAGTAGATACAGCCGAGGAAAGTATCTCTGAGCTTGAGGATATCTTAATTAATAGAAACTTGGAAAACTGAAAAGCAAAGAAAACAAAGACTGAACAAAACCAGAACAGAATATCCAACAACTGTGGGACAATTATAAAAGGTATAACATACCTGTAATGGGAATACCAGAAGGAGGAGAAAGAAGAAATATTTGAAACGGTAATAACTGAGAATTTCCCAAATTAATGTCAGATACAAAACCATAGATCCAGGAAGCTCAAAAAAACATGACACAGGAAAAATATCAAGAAAAACTATACCTAGAGGTATAATTTTCAAACTGTAGAAAGTCAAAGATGAAAAAAAAAAAGTCCTGAAAGAAGCCAGAGAGGAAAAACACCTTACCTGTAGAGGAGCAGAGATAAGAATTACACCCAACTTCTTCTCGGAAACCATATAAGCAAGAAGAGAGAGTGGAGTGAAGTATTTAAAGTGTGGAGACAAACACCCTTCTTTGTTAAAGACAAGAGCTCAGAAAGCTCCAGGGATCTAGACTTAGAGAGCCTTTCAATGACTTCATTCCACCCTATGTCTTTCTGAACTCAAGATTTGGATTCCCAGTGGAGGGTGGGGTGATGACCCAGCTTAAGTCATCATCCCACCCCTTGGCTGATGGCACAAGGCACTTTGATTAACAGACTTACCAAGACCTCAGGAATGGAGAAAGGTAATTTCCCAAAGGAAAAGTGAGATAGTGTAACCAAAGGAGGGGAGGAGGAATGCGAAACAGACAAAACCAACTGATGCCCATTCTAGAGTGTTCAGTTTAGATTGATGTTTCTCAGTAGGAGCATCACCAGCCTTTAGTGGAATACTATTTTCCTTTGTGAGCTGCTGCCCCAGTGCATTACAGTGTGTTTAGCATCCGTAGCTCCTAGGCACTAAATGCTGGTGGCAACCCCACTGCTGTCATCACAACCATGGCACCACCTGTTTCCATAACACACACATATATACATGCATATGTACATATGCATTCTGTGGAACAGAACATTGAGAACTACTGTGTTGCGTGATTCCTAAAGCTGTTTCCATTTAAAACAATCAGATGCATTTCTATTGCTAAGCAAAGAGTTTTTTGCAATTTTATTTTAATATTTATCTTTTTATCAAAAATTCTTCAATTTACTGTTTCCAAGTATCTAAATTGATCTGAATCGAGTGCCATGTGAAACATGTAAGAAATTAATTCATTTGTTTATTCAGTTTATTTCTTTAAGAGCATAGACTTTAGAGCCATACACTGGGTTCAAATTCTTCAATCTTAGCTCTGCTATTTACTAGCAGTTACTTCCTTTGGTTTTTTTTTTTTTTTTTAACATAATCTTACTTTGGGCAATTACATAATCTTTCTGTGCCTCTGTAAAATGGAGATACTACCCATTTCATAAGGTTGCTGTGATGATTAATTATTAGGTCATTAAATGTAAAATGTCTGATTTTGAATCAAGAGTGTAGTTTATTATAGTTAAAACAAGAAGCAGTACAATTAATCAGAGTATGTGCCTAAACTATAAACACAGTTTTGCCATCTTAACGGTAGCTGTTTATGTCAGCAGCAAAGAAACTTGGAGAGCAAGTGGTGATGAAACTGCGAAAGGCATTTCCTACAGCTTGTTGAGAACTGAATATTTTTCCTTGCAAGAAGTGGTCCAAAGCCTGGAAAAAGTGGTAGTCAGTTGGTGCAAGGTCTGGTGAATATGGTAGTTGACAGAGTTTCCAAGTCCAGCTTCTGAAATTTGAGCAGCGTTGTTTGTGCGACATGTGGTTGGGCATTGTCTTGCAAGAGGATTGGACTGTATCTGTTGACCAGCCTCAGCTGTTTAATCACAAGTATCCTAATCATTTCATCCAATTGGTTGCAATAGACATCTGCTGTGATTGACCACGTTTCATGAAGCTGTAGTGGATAATACCAGTGCTGGACCACCAAACAGACATCATTAGCTTTTTATGATGAATATTTGGTTTTGGACTGTGTTTTGGCACTTCATCTTTTTCTAGCCATTGTGCTGAAAGTTTGCGATTGTCACAAAGAATCCATTTTTCATCATATGTAACAATACAATGTAGAAATGGTCCACCTTTATGTTGTGACAGCAAAGAAAGACTAGCTTCGAGACGATTTCTCTTCTGACTCTCATTTAATTCATGTGGAACCCATCTATCCAGCTTCTTTACCTTGCCCATTTGTTTCAAATGGTCCAATATTGTTGGAATAGTAACATCAAACCTTGCTAATTTATGCATAGATTGAGTTGGATTTGCTTCCATGACAGCTTTCAGTTCATCATCATTCACCTTGGTGTTAGGTCACCTACGTGGCTCATTTTCAAGATTAAAATCTGCAGAATGGAATTTCTCACATGATTGATGTACTGTGCATTCATTAGCCACATCTTCTCAAACACTTCATTGATATTTTGAGCTGTCTGTGCTACATTGGTTCCACAATGGAACTCACATTTAAAAATAACACAAATTTTTGACTTGTCCATGGTTTCACAAAAATATCTGTAAAAAAAAAAAAATTGAAAGATAATCACAAGCCAAAACAAGCATTTGAAAGACTGAGGATGTACCTTCACAATAAACATGAACAAGAAGTGTCAAAGTAAATTGTCAGAGATATCAACAGTGAAACTTAAGGAAATTGGACATTTCATACATAATAACCCAATAGCATGCATAAAACATTTAATGTATCGCCAAGAGCATTGTAAATGTATGCATGTGTCAGCTATTATATTTGTAAATGGGATATTAATTAAATTTCACACAGGTAACATAAAATGCTTTTAAAATTATCTTGTTGGAGGAGTTGCCTTTTAAAAATTAACTTGGTTTGTCTGGAGAAGGATTTTGCTATGGCATTTAGCTTAAAACTGTACTTTGAAAAATACCAGTGAATTATTTATTCTTTCATTCAATATTTAGTGTTTGCCTGGCTTATGCTAAATTCTAAGAAGACAGGGAATTTACATACCAGTGTAGGAAGCAGTAACTAAGTGAACAAATAAATGCCCAGGGTAATAACCAATGTGAAGGAATCCGTGGAAAGCTCTGGAAGCAGGGAAGAGCTTGCTGTGTTTATGGGGCAGATGAGAGGCCTAGACTGGTGAGCCGGGCAGGGAGGAAACAACAGAGGTCAGATGTAGGAGGTGCCAGAGCCACGTTTTTCAGGGCCTTTGAGTCTCCAGTAAGCAGCTAGGGTTTTTTTTCTAGACAGAGTTTGGTTTTCTTTCCAAGGAAGCTGTTGAAAGGGGTTTTAAGCAAGAGAGTGTATTGGGTCTGACTGACATTTGCCAAAGTTGTTTTGGCTACTGGGCACAGAGTGAATAGGAGAGGGGCAGGCTGGGTCTGGCAGAAGGCAAGTGTGACACTCTAGGGCTGGGCTGGGTGGCGGCAGTGAGGTGGAAGCGCATGCATTCAAGTCAGAGCACATGCATTTATTTTGGAGGTAGAATTGACAGGTGTTGGTGATGGCTTGTATGAGGACGATGAGAGAAAGGGAGAAATCAGGGGCAATACCTAGATTTTTGGCTAAATGCCATTTTAACAGTATGCATATATTACCTTATATTACCTTTATTATTAAACCGTTTTGGGTCCATTTTGGATCCTTCCCAAAACTTTAGTATATGAGCTGCCAAAGCAAACAGAAATGCTGTAAAGTTTTAAATTTCATTTTAAAACTTTCATCTTCCTGGTCTAGATTTTTTTTTTTTTTTTGCGTTGAAGCCAAATGGTACTAATCTTTGTAAATTTCTTCCTGTTTTCCTATTTAGTAATGGGAACCTCCTTTGTTCATATTTTTGGTATTTAATCGGGAGCATTTTATCTGTTAATCATTATTGCTGAAGATTTAAATGCACTTTATTTACCACTAGTGGAGCAGTCTTTTGAAATTAGGTTGGTGGGTATCCTCCCTGTCTCAGGGGCTTATAAGTCTGTGAAGGTCTGCACCTGTTGGTGCACCTGAAAGACGCACCTGGGCCCGTCTTTCCTCTGTTGATTCCTGCTTCCTGCTTCCCACTTCCAGCTTCCTGCTGGGCATGGAGAGGTGCAGGGTGGGAGGGGCACCTACAGTCACTGACCCAACTCCACCTGAGACTCACACTCACTGTGTAACTCCATTGTTCTGGACTTACAGGGTAGGAAGCCAAGCTTATGAGATTTTATCTTCTCTCAGCTTAGGACTAGTATACCTCCTTAGTAATTGGAATTTATTATATTTTACTAAAATATGGCTGCTGCTTGTGAATGAATTGAGATCAAGCATATAAAGCAGTCTTTAGTTAAATTAGACAGATTGTTTCAATTGATGCATGTGGAATGAATTATTTTACTTTTTCTCTAAGAAATGAAGAGAAACTGGGAAGAAAATTCATTAGACAGTAATGCATAGAGATTTTTTTTACACCTAAATGAGAAGCCAGAAATACATATAAAACATAAGAACTTCAAAAACATTTCTTAGGCACAGACTATTACTAAACACCCATGGATGTTTTTGATTTCCCATTACATTAAAATACTCAAATGAACTTCATATTCAGAACATTTAAAAATAGCTCACTCTTAAAAAGAAGATATAAAGTATTATCAGCTGTGCTTTTGGTGCATAATTAGCATGTGCTTGTGGAGGTATAATGACTTCTAGCTTAATGATATTATCATGATAAAAGTTCAGATGGTAAAAATTGGAGCAACAGCTGGGTGACACATTTTAAAATAATTCAAAGATAACTCCAGCAAGGAAGGCATGCTATTTTAGTCACTTGTAATCCCCCCTTTGCCCATCCGTGGGTTGGGAAGGCAGTGATAAAAGATCCTTTTTAAAATGCTTCATTTGTTCCCTTTCTTACAGATTTGATATGTGCCCACGGTTTCCTTCATTGTTCGGCAGGCTGCTGTGAAGGAACACCACCTTTTCCCTTTTTCCAAGATGGCTCAAGATTCAGTAGATCTTTCTTCTGATTATCAGTTTTGGATGGGGAAGCTTTCTGTATGGGACCAGGCCTCCACTTTGGAAAGCCAGCAGGACACCTGTCTTCATCTGCCTCAGTTCCAGGAGTTCCTAAGGAAGTTGTATGGAGCCTTAAAAGAGATGGTACTCAGTAGACCAAAATAATGAAATTATTTTATGACATGAGGTACTAGAATGCTATCCAGAGTCAGGGATTTGTTGTATTGACCTAATGTGCTCTCGGATTAGAAAGACAAATTACCCATAGGTAATGCAGACAAGAGCTGGTTTTCTAGTTTCTGATTTATTATTACATAAATTTTTTCTTCTTAAGTAGTTGGGTTATCACAACTTCCTGACCAAGCAAATTTTTTGTTTTTAAATAAATAAGATTTTGATACTTGTTGTCAAGTAATAAATGAGATTCTTTTAAAGGCTTTTGTGTTCCTTGAATCTTGGAAAGTTTGCTGAAATGCTTACCCTTTCCTCAACCCTGTTCTCAAGTGGCCTCTCCTAAGAGATGACAAATATTAAGATCTCTTCTTATAAATATAGTACTTCTGATAAATATTAAGATTTTGAGTATCTTCACTATTGTTAAATAATTTATTTTTAAAATTTAATTTTTTGATTTAATTTATTTTATTGTAATAGACATTTTTATGACTTTCATATTATGAACATATTCTTTCAAAATGAAATATTAAAATGAAAAGCAAAATTGTCTCTTAACATAGACGTACTTGTGTTTTGCTTCTTTTCCCTTAATCAAAGAAGTAGGAAATTTGAAGACTAATTTGTGTTGATAATCAGTTCATATCCCTTTAGAAATTAGAAGGAAAGATACTGTCTGTGTACAGACCAATACTAATTTTTAAAATTGTTTTTTGTAATAAGACTTATGTAACTTGACCTTAATGTGGTCCTGGAAAGTCTAGGACCAGCCTTAATGCTGAGACAAGTGTGAGAAATATTTTGCTGCAGCAGCAGGAAATGCTTATTGTTTTAGCTTACCTGCACATTATCTCAGTTTGGTTATTTTTGACCTTTCGTGAAAGGTAAAGAAGTGGGAAAAGGGCCAGCTGTACAAGGGCATGTGTATTTTTTTAATCTTAAGCTGTTTTCTATTTGGTTGATCTTTTTTTGTCTCAGGGTTTAAGTTGTTATAGACTAAGTATGATGTCATTTACCATATAGTAATCAAAATAGTAATAAACAGAGATGTATATCTTTATGCTTTGGCTGCTTTTTATTTCTTTTTACAAGTTCTAGGATTCTTGGCCTTTTAAACCTTCTTTGAAATAGCCTTACTGGAGCTGAGTTAGGAATCTTTCTTAATATGTTAGAATAAAAAACCTAGATGAAGATATGGGATTATATGGTTTTTAATGACCAATTTTTTTTTTTTATTTTTATGCATTCTTTTTTATTTTAAAATAAAGTAGCCTTTCCTGGCTATTAAGTATGAGTAAAATAAAATCAATTTTTTTTTTTTTTTTTTTTTGAGACAGAGTCTCGCTTTCTTGCCTAGGCTAGAGTGAGTGCCGTGGCGTCAGCCTAGCTCACAGCAACCTCAAACTCCTGGGCTCAAGCGATCCTCCTGCCTCAGCCTCCTGAGTAGCTGGGACTATAGGCACAAGCCACCATGCCTGGCTGATTTTTATATATATATATATTAGTTGGCCAATTAATTTCTTTCTATTTTTATGGTAGAGACGGGGTCTCGCTCAGGCTGGTTTTGAACTCCTGACCTTGAGCAATCCGCCCGCCTCGGCCTCCCAGAGTGCTAGGATTACAGGCGTGAGCCACCTCGCCCAGCCAAATAAAATCAATTTTTAAACAAAGTTAATTTTACCTATTGTATCATACATCTTAGTTTTGATGACTTGGTTTATGATAAAGTAAGATGGTTGGCTGCTTATAAAACTTTATTTGAAGCCAGGCATGGTGGCATGTGCTTATAATCCCAGCTACTCAGGAAAGAGGCTGAGGAGGAGGGAGGATGGCTTAAGCCCAGGAGTCAGAGATCATCCTGGGCAATATAGCAAGATCTCATTTCAAGAAACAAACCAAAAAATCAAAAAAGACTTTACTTGAATTACTTACCTAAAGATCTTCTCTAATCCTTTTTGCTAATTTTTAAAAACACATACTAAACAAGAAGCATTCAAGCTCCTTCAGCCTATAATGTCAGTTAAATCTTTGTGTTACATAATGCCCTTTTACTGACCAAAATATAATTTTGTATTACAGGATTTTAATACAGTCATTGAAAGATTCCCCACCATTGGTCAACTGTTGGCAAAATCTTGCTGGAATTCTTTTATTTTAGCATATGGTAAGAATCCAAAGCATGTTCTCTTAAAATGGCTATTTTACTGTTTACATTGTCTAAGAAAATACAGAGGCTTAAATTATAAACCTTTCTCCTATTTTTCATTGAACAACTTATAAAATGTATTCATTACTCCTTTACAAAGATGGCATCCTTTATTGTGCATGTATGTGGATGTATGTTTGAATAAACATACACATATGCATGTACATGTGCAGCTCTATAGGAAAAGAAAACTCTTTGTATTAGAGGGCAGAAACTCTCAGATGATTTAAATATCAATTTTTTGTTTGTAATCATTTTCATAACCTCATTTTTGCTTATTTGTTTTTTGAGACCGGGTCTCGTTCTCTTGTCTGGACTAGAGTGCAGTGTCATCATCGCAGCTCATTGTACCCTCAAAATCCTGGGCTCAAACCATCCTCCTGCCTGAGCCTCCTGAGTAGCTGAGACTACAGGTGCACTCCACCATGCCTGGGTACTTTTTTTATTTGTTGTAGAGACAGTCTTGCTCTGTTGTTCAGGCTGGTCTCAAACTCCTGGGTTCACGCGATCCTCCAGCAATTATAGGTGTGAGTCACTGTGTCAAGCCCATTCATAACCTCATTTTTAATTCAGCATAAAATTGCTACACTAAGGATATCGAGTTACTTTCTTTGTTTCACAGATTCATATTAACTCATGTACTGTTTCCCATCTTGTAAAGTCTTTCTTCAGGGTCTGAATCCTGCCATGGCTTTGCTATTATTTAGGGGTGACATTTTGGTATTATACAAGGTTGAGAGGAATTGGGGGCACATTGGCTAGAGGTATGCCTTCACTGACCTGCCTGCTGTCCAGTCTCATTTCCTGTTTCATCTTCCACAACTGTAGCATAGGCATTGTAGCCAGGTCCTATACTAACAGTGCCTGAAGGCACTTGATGGCAGGGCCTGTCACTCGTGATTGATTCCTTTTGCCTCTGTTCTCCTCTTTATTCTCTTCAAACTTCTTTGAAATAGCTGTACTGAGGCTGCATTAGGAACCTCTCTTAGCATCTCCTTGGCCTCTAGCATCTCCCTTTATTGTAATATTCATTCTACTGTCTGATAACCTGGAAAGCTGAATGCCTCTTAAGAAAAGGAGATGTGAAGAAACAAAATACTATGCCCTTTAAGTATACATAGTGGTCACATCCTCAATTCAGAAATGTTGAAGTGTGTGAAAGTTTGTGTTATAGAGTGGGAAGCATTGCTCACTTTGTGCTGTACACTGTTCTCTTTGGCATACATGGTGGATCTTATTGAGTTCTTGACGACAGTCTTGCAGAACAGATAATTATGGGTTAGAGCAAATAAGTTGCCCTCCTCAAAATACAAAACTAGTAAGAGCCAGGACGCCACTTCCCATGTGACTCTGAAGTCCACCTTGTTGTAATGTTCTGTACCTACTGGATCACATCTTGTGGTTGAAGTGTTCCAGTCCCAGCATTACTGCTAGCCAGCTTCACTTGAGTGTATATGTTCACTCGATAGATATATATTAAGTGTGTGGGGTTTTTTTTTTTTTTGTATGCCACCCCTAGGAAAACATGGCTTACCATTTCTACCCATTGGGAACTTGCAGTCAGGGAAAAAAGAGACCTCAGCAGATCAGCCTGACCCGGTGTGAAGGCAGCCTGACCCGGTGTGAAGGCCCCTGTTGCGCATGGAACAGGGAGCGGCAGTTGTGGAGGGGAATGAGGGTTCCATGGAGAGCCCGTGCTGGGGCTGACTCCTGGAGGACAGTTGATGAGACGGTATTCTCTAAGATGTGCTACTCAACTCACTGGGTCTCATATTTTTGTGAAAGTGAGAGAGAGGTTGGATTGATTTATCCTTATGTCCTTAAATTTGTATCTGTCTGTGATCTTTTCTTAGCACCTTATCTGCATTACATTGGGCCCCTCTGACAACCAGAAACAAATTCTCCATCCCTTTTTGTTTCAATGCTGGTGTTACCTTTTAAACTGCCCATTAAATTTCAGTTTCCTGTTTAAGGAATGCCTTTGGTTCTGAGCTCCTAGAGGCGACTGGTAGGCACAAAACCCTGAGCAATCAAACGCTGCCTATGTGACCATTGCTGTTTCTCACTATTTGGGCACTTTCTTCTGGGAAGGGATCTTTTCTTATGGTTTTATAATATAAAAATTGCTTTGTAAATACAGTAAAAGCAAACAGTTTTCATCATGGAAGAAAGACAGTTATGCATAGTATTGATTGAGAACAGAATCAGAGAAAAGGGTAATAAATAAGGAAGAATGATTTGGAAAATCATTCCAAAAAGAGAACAGAAAAATAGATAATAATGGAAAGGGAGAGAACACCTTTTTATTAAGTGATGTCCCCTGCACAAGAATACAGCCTTTACCTCCTGAAATTCTGGTCCCTTGGTTCTAGCTCTGCCTTCATGATTAACCGTAATAGCTGTATCCTGTCTTCCTCACAACTTGCTGTCTATTCCGTGGAACAATTTCCTCCAAAACTTCACAGCTTAAAATGATAAATATTTACCATCTCATAAAATTTTGCTGCCTTCATACTTTTAAACTATAGAATTAAAGTTAAAGAATTAAACTTTCATTTAGAATTTCAGTTCAAGATATCAAAAAATAAAACATTAGGTGGCAAATATATGTTGTTGCATTCCTTTCCCATCCACTCATTTTTAGAATCCAAATTTGTACTTAAGATCTGCTGTCAGTGACTGTCCTGCAGTGGATCCCAGGGAATTTCCCATCTCACTTAAGATGCCCTGCGAGATGCTCCAGCCTAATCTTGGGGCCTCTAGGGAGGAGCCTGACAGATGGCATCGCCTGTAGTGAGTGCTGGTGGCACTACTGAATAACAAGCGATGGCTTGCGTCTGTAAATCACCAAAGCAAAGTAGGCTGTACGCTCATTCATTAGCAGTACATTTCAGTGCCTTGACTCTGGGCAAAGAAAGCAACTCCTAAAGGTTGGGTGGAAGTTTCTATGTCTTTTTCTTCCCTCCTCTCCCTTCCCTCCTCTCCCTTCCCCACTCTACCCCTCTGCTCCCCTCCAGGTAGGGTAGAAGTTTCTAAGTCCTCCCCTCCCCTCCCCTCCCCTCCCCTGCACTCTTCTCCCCTCGAGAAAAGTAAAAAATAATACACTGGCTCATTAAACTAAGTGTATGGGAATCACTCAACACCTGGGGGAAAACTCCCATCTTTTGAATCGGTTCAAATTCAAACTCCATAAAACTAACTTTCTCTTTTTCTCTTTCTCTTTCTCTTTCTCTTTCTCTTTCTTTTTCTCTTTCTTTTTCTCTTCTCTTTTTCTCTTTCTCTTTCTCTTTCTCTTTCTCTTTCTCTTTCTCTTTCTTTTCTCTTTCTCTTTCTCTCTCTCTCTCTCTCTCTCTCTTTCCTCTTTCTTTCTCTCTCTCTTCTCTCTCTCTTTCTCTCTCTCTTTCTCTCTTCTTTCTCTCTCTTTTTCTTTTCTTTTTCTTTTTTCTTCTTCTCTTTCTCCTCCCTCCCTCCTCCCCCCTCCCCTCTCTCCCTTCTCTCCTTCTCTCTCCCTCCCTCCCTCCCTCTCTCCCTCTCTCTCCCTTCCCCTCTCTCTCCCTCCCTCCCTCTCTCTCTTCCTCTCTCTGTCCCCCTCTCTCTCCCCTCCCTCCATCCCTTTTGTAATGAGTGTCTGATTTTTGAAAATGTTTTCCATCAGGTTGCATTCTTTTTAACAGCCTACTTGTGTCAGTGTATCATTGACTGTGTCTGTCACACTTGCTACATGAAGCCAGTTAGAATTTCTTCTAGTATTTAAACTGTGGGAAGTACAATAGTCACATTTTTAATCAGTGGCATTAGTTAAACCTGAATAACCCTAGGAGTTTTAGAGGTTAAATTATATGACTCTTGAAAGGAACTGATCTTAGGCAAGCCAGTGCCTTATAATGCTTTATTTGAGCTCATAAAAGCTAGGAAAAGAATGAATGTCCTCAGAATAACCCCTGATAAAGTTTGTTCAGAAATGTTAGTTATTGGGAAAGTGTAAGTTTATGGATGTTCATAGGGAAAAAATGGGTTTAAAAATTACTGTTAGCATCCTTTGGTTTGCATATGAAAATACATAGGTAGCTTACTGTATGTCATTTATATTTTCTTTATTTCTTGGTTAGTGAAGCTCTTAGAAATGCTTGTTTATTAGACTGCAGAAGATGAGAAGATGGAGACTAGTGATTCCAGGTGCTGGGTGTCTTAGGCTTACCTCCATGGCCTTACTCTAAAGTCTGAAGTTGCTTAGCTCTAGCTTAGGCACTGACATCTTCCATTTCTAGGCCTCCTTTTTGTTTCTTAATTGTATTATAAAATCTCTAACTGGAATAGAATCAGTCACCACAAGAGGAAAAAGAAAGTGGCTCATCAAGTAGATGTTCCCACCAAATGCAGGATTTCAAAGTTCAGCATTTTCATTGCATATTTGGTAAAGTTTTAAATTTTAGAATAAAGAATTAAAAGCATCTGAGAAGCATCTATTTTATCCAAATCATTTGGTACTAAGCAGAATATATTTTAAAACAAATACATATATATTTTCTGTGAAATTTGTTTTTAAACAAGTGAGGGCATTTTAGCAAGTTAGGAAATTAAAATATTAAATCAGAAATATTGACATCTGACTGCCTACAGCAGTTATGTTTCCTTAAAAAGGTTAAAATTACTGATGGTTTAAATGTGAAATAAAAAAACTCATCTTGAGAAGAGTCCAGTTGTTTTAGTTCTTTCCATCATTGTCATTTGGGTTTAAAAATTGCTGCTGTTACAGAAAGGGAATTGACCACACAAGAGCTAACCATAAGTGATCCTGAACCCAAGACATGAAAGAAACCCACAAAGTTAAGTTTCACACATGCTTCTGGATACTTATTCTGTGAACTTAGTAGTTTGAGATTTTCTTAAATATAATGTTTAAAAATTTTCATACTGATTATTTTTTCTTTCTATTTGGTAAAACTTAACTCATTTTAGTTTTTCTTTTTGTAGATGAAAGCCAAAAAATTCTAATATGTTGCTTATGTTGTCTGATTAACAAAGAACCACAGAATTCTGAAGAATCAAAACTTAACTCCTGGATACAGGTAAGACAATAAAGCTTGCTCTGCACTACTTTGAACCAAATTGAGTACTTAAAAGTGCTACTTAAGAAACATTTTTTTTGGTCCAGTTCTATGATGTTTTAGAAACTTTTCAAACATACCCTTTACTGTTACTTTATTTTGCTGAGTGTAAAGTTTTTCAAGAGATTTCAAATTTGCTTGACTGTGAATTCCAAAAGATATTGGTCCTTAAGGTCAACTTCCCACATGCTTACAAGACCTGATGTTGAGTGATTTTGAAAAGTTTCTTTCAAGTAATTAAAAGAATGTACTGCATTTCCCTCTGGAAATTGCTATCCTTCAAAAAATCATTTCTCCCTCCCTACCTAGCTTAAATGCTTATTTTATTTCTCTCCACGTATTTCTCTGCCTCTCTCAGAATGTAGTAAAACGAAAATTCAGCAGTGCCCAGGGAAAATGGATTCCTGGGCCACTGTGCTCACAGACTAGCCCTTGGTGCTACTTGGCCACTGCTGCTCACACTGTCAAATCAGTGCCTACTATACTAGTCCAGATAGCTGACAGCTTCCTAGATGTCCCCTTGTCTGTTTCTGCTTCCTGTTAAAGGGTAGGCACAAGTTGGAGAATGTTGTAAGGCAGCTGTGGCTGCCTTCACCACCAGCATGTTGGCTATGCTTTTCTCTTACCCCCACTGTCCCACTGCAGCAACAGCCAGAGGACTTGCTGATGCCTGCGAGACCCCACTTAGTGTGCATATGGTTCAGATTAGCTGCTTAGTATATGAAATCACCCAACCAGATAATGTATGTGGTTTTGTCTATCAATCGATTGGTGATATCATTACATTCACTACTTTTTACAATTCCTTTGTTTTAAACAAAATTGCTAACAGAGATGATAAAGGCAGTATTTGTATTTTTCTGTTAGATTAAACGGTGAATAGAAGGGGCAGTAAAAGTGAAAGGGATTGGGCAAGGGAAAGAAAGAATACAAACCATAATTAGAAGGGAAATTAATGTGAAGAGCTGAAGAAAAGAATTGATAAGTAAAATTATGGAAGAAAGGGTGTGTAAAAAACAAAAGTATAGAAATAGAATAACGTTTAGTCTTTAATTTTTTAAATTGTTGCTTTTGTTGAGTATTTGACATTTCAATGATTATATAGCATATAATTTTGTATTGGTTAGCTCATTAAGTCCTGAAATAGGCCATCCAATAAAGTGTTTTTATGGTGACTAGGTTTAACTCATGACTTAATTAGTCTTTTTAAAAAATTGCTAGCCTCACATTTTTTTCTGTGGTTTTCTCTTATTTAATACTGTGTCCATTTATTCATAGGCATTTATAATATTAAGTATAGTACAAGGAGGTAAAGTTCTTAATTCCTGCCTTTAGGGAATTCACAGACTAGTAACCAGATCACTGCAGGGTGGTACGGTTGGGTTATTAGTAGAACTGTGTATAGGTGTGATGGTGACACAGAGGGGGACACTTGGTCAGACTTGGGAGTTTGGAGACATTTCCCAGGGGAGGTGATCTATTAGCTGAGTTCTGAAGGATGGGTAGGAGAGCAAGAATAGAGTTAGAATATACCTGGCAGCAGGAAGGGAATGTACAAAGTATGATGGTGAGAAAGCACATGTTGTATTCAAGAAACTGCAGGTGCTTAGATATGCCTGGAGTTTGGGGTTCTGTGGGGTTGGTGATGAAGCATGAAGCCAGAGAGACAGTAAAACACTAAGCCTTATGTATGATTATAAGAAGTTTTATTTTATCTTGAAGGGAGTGGAAACCACTAGAGTATGTAAACAGAGAAATCATATGGCCAGGTGTGAGTTTTAGAGACTAACAGCAAAAGGAAGGTGGTTGGGAAGAGGGCAAGGATAGCACTTTAGAACATATTGTAGTGACAAAGGTGAGAAATTGTGAGGGCCTGAATGAAATGGAGAAGAGGGGTCAGATTTATAAGATGTTATTGAGGTAAATATCCAAAAGATGTAATGGTAGATTAAATGTAGCTATACTTAGATGTAGGTGGAGATGTACAGAGAGTAGTTGAATGTGCCATTCTCAGGAGAGCGAGCAGATTTGCAGCAGAGGGTTGGGAGTCAGCAGCCTACGGGAGTAGTGGAAGCTTTGGGTGAAGTAAGACTTCCCCCTCCCCTGAGATAGTGACTAGTGGGGGGCACTGGAGAGGGCCTTGGAAGTTGCTGACATTAGGGAGGAAGTGGAAGAGTGATCAGCGCTGCAGGATAGAAGGAGTCGTCCAAGAAGTAGAACAAGAAAAGCATTTATAAGCACTTCAAAGAGGATAAAACTCATATCTAATGCTGCAAAGCACCACTGTCCAATAGAAAGGTCATAATATATAAAATGTCTGATTTCGAATGAAAAGTTTAGTTTATTGTATCTCAAGCAAGAAGCAGTATAACTAATCAAAGTGTGTGCCTAAACTATCAACACAGTTTTGCCATCTTAATGGTAGCTTGTTTATGCCAGCAAGCAAAGCAGTTTGGAGAGTGAGTGGCGATGAAATCCTGAAAGGTGTTTTCCACAGCCTGTTGAGAATTGAATAATTTTCCTTGCAAGAAGTGGTCCAAAGCCTGAAGAAGAAGTGGTAGTCAGTTGGTGCAAGGTCTGGTGAATACAGTGGATGACAGAGTTTCTAAGTCCAGCTTCTGTAGTTTGAGCAGCATTGTTTGTGCAACACATGGTCGAGTGTTGTCTTGCAAGGGGATTGGCGTGTCTCTATTGACCAATCTCGGCTGCTTAATCAAAAGCATCCACATCATTTTGTCCGGTTGGTGCAGTAGACATCTACTGTAATGGATCGACCAGGTTTCATGAAGCTGTAGTGGATAATACCAGCGCTGGACCACCAAACAGACAGCATTAGCTTTTTATGATGACTGTTTGGTTTTGGACCATGTTTCAGCACTTCATCTTTATCCAACCATTGTGCGGAACACTTGTGATTGTCAAAAAGTATCCATTTTTTATCACATGTAACAATACACTATAGAAATGGTTCTCCTTTGTGTCATGACGGCAAAGAAAGGCAAGCTTCGAGATGATTTCTCTTCTGATGCTCATTTAATTCATGCAGAATCCATATACCCAGCTTCTTTACCTTTCCAGTTTGTTTCAAATGGTCCAATATTGGCCGGGCGCGGTGGCTCACATGAGCCTGTAATCCTAGCACTCTGGGAGGCCGAGGTGGGCGGATTGCTCGAGGTCAAGAGTTTGAAACCAGCCTGAGCAAGAGTGAGACCCCGTCTCTACTATAAATAGAAAGAAATTAATTGGCCAACTAATATATATATATGTATATATATGTATATATACATATATATATATAAAATTAGCCGGGCATGGTGGCGCATGCCTGGAGTCCCAGCTATTCGGGAGGCTGAGGCAGAAGGATTGCTTGAGCCCAGGAGTTTGAGGTTGCTGTGAGCTAGGCTGATGCCACGACACTCACTCTAGCCTGGGCAACAAGCGAGACTCTGTCTCAAAAAAAAAAAAAAAAAGTCCAATATTGTTGGAATAGTAACATCAAACCTTGCTGCTAATTCACACATAGGTTGCTGTGGATTCACTTCTGTAGTTTTCCTCTCATCATTATTCACTTTGGTTGCCCATGTGGCTCATTTTGAAGATTGAAATCACCAGAATGGAACTTCTCAAACCATCAATGTAGTGTGCGTTCATTAGCCACATCCTTCCCAAACACTATTGATATTTTGAACTGTCTATGCTGCGTTGGTTCCACAGAACTCGTATTTGAAAATAACATGAATTTTTGACTTATGCATGGTTTCACAAAAATAGCTGTAAAAAAAATTTGAAAGATAATCACAAGCCAAAATGTGCGTTTGAAAGGCTGAGGATGTACCTTCACCATAAGAATAAATATCAAAGTATAATGTCAGAGATATCAACTATCAAATTTAGTACTTAAGGAAATATTGGACATATCATCCTTAATAACCTTAATACATGCTAAATAGATAATGGTACATTTTCCAGTAGCTGCTTTAAAAAATGTAAAAGGAAATAGGTAAAATTAATTTTAAGAAAATACTTTCTTTAACCTAATATTTCCCAAATGCCATCATTTCAACATGTAATTTTAAAAATTTCAATTTAATTAAAATTTTAAAATTCAATTCTTTCATTGCACTTAGTGCATGGAAGTGCCCAGTAGCCATGTGGTGAGGAGTGGTCACCTGCTGGGCAGGGTCAGGCATCAAGCAGGAGGACTGAGAAACACTCCTCAGAGGAAAAACCTTGGAGAATAGTTCTAATGAGAGGTGGGAGGAAATAGCCAGATTCCTCCAGACTGAGGAATGATGGGGAGGTGAGGAAGCAGAGGTGATATTAGTTCCTCTTTTGAGAAACTTGGCAGCAAAGGAGGGAGAGAGGAGGTGGAAGCCAGAGGGTTGGGTTGGCTGAAGTTGAGAAAGCCCTGAACGTGCTTTCCTGAGAGAATGTGCTAGCAGGGAGCCATTTAAGGACATGGGAGATTGGGAAAAATAGTTTCTCTCCTCATTGTACTGTGCAAGCCTAACTAAATAATATGAACTGATAAAAAGATGTGTAGGGGCATATTAATTATTTAACTCTTAGCAATCTAAAGCTAATTGCATGTATCTATCACCAATCAGCACCTATGTAATCTTATCATGTTGGCCATAAATGCAGCAACACAGAAGGTGGCTGTTGGTTTAGAAATCAACAGTGTATGTCTTGGGTATACTTTGTCTTCTAGGTGATGTTTTCTCCACAAAGTCTTAGAGTGACATATTACATGTTAAAATGTATAACTTGTCATCCAACATCCTTGTGAAAATTATATGTCATAATTTAATAATAATTGCTAATCCATCCAACAAACACGTGTATAGTGCCTGCTATGTGCTAGGGTGTTCTAATTGTGATAATAAAATCTTAGGTCATTCTGTGTTACTGGAGCATTTCAAGTATTACTGAAATAGCTTGAATCAAAAGCTAAGACTTTT